CAAATTGCAGCGCTTCACGAATAATTACAGCAAAAAGCTTTTTTATTCATATTATTCACTTTTTTGTGTCTTCGATTGCAAATTGAGCGTTGTTTCTATGCTCAAGATTTACTTCTTATTACGCACGGTGCAATAATTTAAATGTTAATAACAATTATATTCAAAGTTGAAAATATATTTAACGCAAAAAAATATAAATAGACACTTAATAAATTAAACGTAAAAATATGATAAAAGTTTTTTTTTTAATTTTGTGTTTCTTTTAGATGTATCGGTGTATCAGAGAATTTTTTGCTGAACATTTTTCCTGAGAACAGAATGACAAAAAAATTTTTATTCAACTAAAGTTGTTGTTGTTGTTGTTGTTTATTCTACTCAAGTCATACATGAAAAAAATTGATTTGGAAAAAATGAGCAGAAAGGGTATCACAACTAGCAGAGGTCTGCTAAAACGCCCGACATCAAAAAGAAATCGGCCACCGCGTGAACCCGCGTGAAGTTTGAGAGCAAGGGTTGCAGTACTTTTCAATTATCGAATCTTTATTTATTTTAAAATTGTCCATGAATTGCTGAAGGTTAGAGCAGTTACGATAAAGAGTTAAAATTACATTAAATAAGTTTGTTAGCTGGTTTATTAGTAAATTTATCCCCGACAATATCAGTTGATATTCGCAAATAATGCTGTGTACTAAAAATTCTCATAATAAGCTAACCTAGTATGTGAATATAAATTATTAGAATTACTTATTGACTTTTTAAATTTAATTTTTTACCATTGAGCCTGAAAAGAAAAAACGAAATGAAATATTTACCCTGATCCAGTGGTGCTGCCGTTTCTTCACATTTTCAATTTTTCCTCTCTTACTCATTTTTTGACTTGCCAAGAAATGTCGAAAACAAAAAACTATGATAACCCTTCGTGAAATAATATATTTTTTAATTTTTGGTTTCTTACATGTTGTCGTAATTTTTTTTCTTGAAATTTAAGTTTGAAATTATGGTGCAGTATTAAATTAAATGAAAAATAAATACTTAAGGCACGTAACTGGTTAAATTTTACTATAGAACGTAGGAAAGTTTACGGCTTTGAGGTGCGAGGTTGCCTGCGTTTTGTTTGTTGGAGAGGATTTGGTATACAAAATGTATTGCCGACGCAAAGGCAAATTTGCATTTACACGACGCCACGCAGCTGTGGCAAAGGACAAAGGTGATTCAACCCTTACGTTGCCAATACAAGGCGAAATCGCGACACAGTCAGCATTTTATCCGGCGGCAATATTGCCAAGGCCAGATATTCAATCGCTCGCAACCCTTCTTGCTCCAGATATTATTCGTGCGCGCGACCCACGCGCTCTGTTTTGTCAAAGCAATCAAAGACCGTTTTCCGGCGCCCTGCTTCCCGCTTATTGCGGCACACAAACTCGCAAAGGAAGCAAAATCCAGGTTATTAACGATGTCAACGATGTGATTATCAAGGCTTTGCTCAAAATAATTTGTCCTATTCATGGAAACACACGGGCTCAATTTTCATAATCGATGAGTTGCTATTTATTTATGTACGTCTGGAGAATTCTCTAATTAGCAAAGTTTTTGCGTGAGCGTAAAAGATTCAGAAGGTGAATTCGCATCTAGAATATTCTGAAAGGACTCATGAAGAACATAAACAACCCAAAATAAAATCATCCTGGGAAGTGAATTTTGTAAAACATATTTTTAAACAATTTCCAATTTCGAAATATTTATTTTAATCCTCTTTTACAAATTAATATTATTATTCAAGCTTAGCTGAGCTTCATAAATCAAAAGCCATAAAAGCGTTAAAAATTTAATGTAACTGCTCCTCATTTTTAGAAAAGCGAAATCATCTAGTTATGTAATAATTTTTAATGGTTTAAAATTTTTACCCTGAAAATCATCAAATTTCTGGGATTGAATTGATTTCAATTTTAAATATTAATTCCCTTTTTTAATAATAATCTGTTTTATTATACTTTTGGTCATAAAAAAATTAATAAATCGAAGAAAAAAAAGATAGGGTTGAAACTATTCACAAATTATCTACAAATTTTGAGATTATATCAAGTATACTGTATCAAATAATTCCCTTCAAGCTAACATGAATTTTAAGTGAAACAATCGGCCTTAACTTGTAACCAAAACTTTTCTTTCGTTCGGAGAATTTACTTCCCCAAATAATAACAGACCTCCCAAGAAAGATGATTGAATTGGACAGAAAAATAATGGGACTGTCAGGCTGACACGGAACAAGAATTAATTAGTCGCGATAATCTGTTTTACAAGTTCGCCTATGACGTGACAATGTTTTCCCAGAGCGGCTTAATCTGTCTGCCTTCCTCGGCAGGGATTTCGTCTCTTGGTGTGCAATTCCACTCGCATATGCACAGAATCCATCCCTAAGTCGGCTAAATTATTCTTGAGCCTCGACAATAATCGCTCACGATTGCCGTGCGCGCATCTAATCCTCTCAACGTGTTCAGCTCCTCTCCATGCATATAACTCATGTAATGCATGGGCGCGAAAATTATCTGCCGGTGATCCATGCTAATGAGTGGTTAGATCGTGCAGCCGCAAAATTTATATTTATGCCCCGGGGCATCAACAAACATTCACACGTATAGCGGCGGCGCATATGTGCAAGTGAAGGTTAATTTGCGCCGAAGTTCAGAAACTCTATTGACTGATGCATGTGCAGCAGAATTTCATGTACGGAGGTCGCCTGATGGTTCCGCACAAAGATGATCAAAACTGAATTTAAATAAACTATAGTTTAAAATTGGTTTTTAAGCAAGTTCAATAATTTAAAAATAACCACAACGATATGATATTCAAAATAGTGCCTTTCATTTGTTTGACGAAGAAGTTGACACTCGAGGAGATGATCAGAGAAGTGAAGAGATGATCGGGCTTTTCCTTGTAGTGAAAATTGTTTTCACGAAAAAAAGTGAGCCATTTTGTATGTTTTTTTTTTAATAAAAACTATTTCTACACCAAGGAAAAAGCATAATCTCTAAACTTTCATTGTTTGCACAGAAAAAATGAAATATTTAAACTATTTAGAAAAATAAAATTAAAATGTATCATATCGTAAAATGACATCAGTTTTCATGCTAATACTAGGCATTAATTGAATTAAAATGATAAAAATAAAATATTATGAAAAGATAAACAATGATGTTGAAAATTTATCATATATCTTATTTATTATTTTTTTTTTCAAAGTTGAAATTAATCTGAATTTTATGAAATGAAATATTCTCTGCCCTATTTTGTTGATTAATTTTTGATTGGTCTCCGCTGACTTATCGGATATTTCATCTGACAAAAATATGAAAGCCAAGTGCGCGGAAAAATGTCAAAATAATGTAATTAATCCGTTGCGCGCATCCAACTAGGAAAAGAAGCCAAATCTATTTATTCCTCTTGATTAACCGCCACTCATGCACGTTGGCAAAACGCCCTGCCTCATTACATGGGCCTCGTGGGAGCCTTGCAAAATTTCATTGCCGCGTAAACCTTCATTGCACCGCAAATAAGCCGCGCCGACGATAATTAAAGTGCTCGGAATTCAAGTCCAAGAGGCTTGTTCTCGACGCGTTGCTTGCTGTGGGGTCAAACGGGAAGAATGCAAGAGCTGTGGCGGTCGAGATGTCGGGTGAAAACAATCCACGGGCTGAAGGGTGCTTTCCGTCCTCCCGGCAAAGTGGAGTAGCTGCGTGGCTTGGCTTTCTCAAGCGATGGGGAAATTTTTCTGCTTCTATGTTGTTGAGCAAAATAAACGTGGGAGGGAAATTTCCGTGGTTTTATTATGTTGCTAAATATTTTGATTGTGAAATTACATCATCATGACGTGGTAAAAGGATGTAACTCTAACGAATATAAATGTCCTTTACGCTTATCAAACCTTTTTTATATAAGTAAATAATAATTAAGTTTTGCTTTTAATTAATAAAATTAATTTATATTAAAATCTAAATATGTTCTTGTTTAAAAATATTTAAAAAATAAATAAAATTTTATAATAAAAACATTTTATTAATTTAAAATTTAAATAAATTATAAAGTTTACTTGTTGATTTAAAAATATTTATAAACTTTTTTAATTGTAAGTTTATTTAAATAAATTGACTTTTTTCTTAATAATTTCAATTGATACATTTTTAGCTATAACTTGTGTTTATATTAATGAAGATAGCAATTTTTTATATTTACGCCAGTTCTGACCCCCATGATCCATGATACTGTAAAAGTTAAGCTGTTGATTGAAGCGAAATTGCGCAATAATTTACTATTCTTTGAACTTATAATTGAAATTATAATTTATGAAAATATTGATGCATGAATTTCATTTCCACACCTTTAAACTGTGTTATCAAATTTGAACTGCCCATAATTATTTTGTTTTCCCAGTAAGCAAAACTTGCGCGCTTCTCCAAACAGACATGAATCGAGAGAAAATTGTATTTTGCTTTACACGCGCCTCAAATTATTCGCACCGAAGCCTTTCACGTGTTCCGCAGTTGGAAATTCAACAAGGAAAACTTAATAATTCTCAATAACGCGCCGCTAAATAATTCCTCGAAGCTCCCATTTGTGCGAGTGTGTGTGCGAAATTAGCAAGCTGCTCCTGAATTCAGGGAAAGCAAACAGTAGATTCCGTCGGCTTGCTGTGTGAGCTCAATAAACTGCGAACGTGCTCCCGATACATTTGTTGCATATTTGATGGCAGCCGCCGTGGGGCGAGCAAGTTTCCGAGCAACCGCTCACATTCAGCATTTTTTCCGAGACAATGGAGAAGAAAGGGAAATCCAACATCAAATTTAAATTATATGCTGGGTTGGAGAAATCGCCCATTTTTTATTTCAATTTCCAGAAATTTTGACAAATTCATCGATTAAAGAAGTTTGGAAGCTTTCAATTTTTTTTTACAAATCTGACTTGCAAATCCGAAACTAAATATTAACTTGCAAATTGGCATCTAATACATGGTTTAATTAAAAATTTATTTCAAAATTAAGCTCTCGCTCCATTTTCACATAGAAACGATTACATTTATTCGACAATTTTTTTTGTAATTCCCACGATGTGTGGATTTATAAATTAAGTGAATCTGAAAAATTAACACGTTCTTTCTTCACAAACAAAATAGTAATAATTACCACACTGAATATCGTCCCAATACCCGCTTGGTGCATACAAAATGAGACAGTGCTCCTCATTAAATGCATTGTTGGGGATACCAGGAATACCACCATAATAAGTGAACGTCAACGGTTCTTGAGTTGTCACCCAGTAGAAAAAGCTCTCACTGCCCAAGTCAGAAGCAGCGATCCAGACGTCCAATACACCGCCTGCAATTTAATTACAAAAACTGAGGAAAATTCTGATGATACTTTACCGAGAATTGCATAAAGATCGTTGTTCCTAGTTTGGCTGTAAGGAGTGGCAAGTCGTAAGCCCAACCTTTGGCAAGTCTCCAAAGCCTCAAAGAAGGACGTCTTGAGAAACAAACATGCAATTTTGCATCATTTTTAAAATTTACTGTTAACCTTTTGTGGTGATCTCGGCAGGTATTTGCATTCTCCTGATGGGTATTTTCTCATGCGCTCCTTAATGAAAGTAGGCGTTTGCACTGTAAATGTTTGATTTGAATTAAAAAATTGTAGAGAATAATTTAATTATTTTTATGCTAAATATTCAATAAATTACTTAGGAGTTTAAAACTTTACCATTGCAGCATGACCGGTCTCTTTTATTATTGCCTGGTTTATTGAAATTCTGAAAAAGAAGGCACCTTAAATTAGCCAACTTGAATAACTTGCTAGATTCAGTTATTGCACCTCTTTTTGAAGAGAACTTATCTTTTTTATTTCCTTTTCTTTGTTATAATAAGTTCTAGATCCTGAGTCCGAGTCCTCCTAGTGATTAAAACAAGTTTTCATTATTATTTGACCATAATTTTAAAAATTCTAATTAATTGTGAGGAGGGAAGCACTGAATTTTTGGACACAAAGAATATCAAAAATTTTGCTTCAAATTCTCAAAAGGAGCCGCATTTGAAGTTATAGTTTTTTGTTATTATTAATTATTGATTATTGAGAGCTTTTTTTAACAACTAAAGATACTTACACTGCTGGCTCGGATAGAAGTGGTGCAGATGATCACAAGCATAGCCGTGACAATGAAAATCGCTAAACGCATCTTGCAATATTCTTCAGGAACAGTCAATTTTTTTTGCATGGGGTCTAATAAATATAAAATAAAATAACTTTCTTGAATTTCACTTTGTAAAGCCTTGAAAATTAATTATAAAAAAGAAACTTTTGGCATTTTTACGTTCACAATTCTGTATTTTAAATGCAAAAATTGGAAAAAATTATATATGCCGTCAAATAAAAAGTTAGCAATCGAAGTTTGTGAATTCATAAAACGAATTGAAATGAATTTGTTCAATTCTTATCGTGGTAAATACGTAAAGAGCAATTCAAAATTCAATATCTCACCTGGCAAACACCACAGTAAAGCTGTGGAAATTCAGCTTTTATATCAAGCGGATTCCCTACCCACAACTTTCCGCTTGATGCGTAAAAAGAACGCATCAAGACAACCTGCAGTGTTTGTCATTCAGTCACATAGATTAAGTGATCCTAATTTAAATAATTTTACTTTTACAGATTTGTCACGTTTTCCATGATGATTATAGACTTGCAAGTTGTAAAGTGTAGTCGAGAGAGCGGTACGTGCCACCGATGAAAAATACGCATCGCTTGGCCTAGAATCAAATTTGTTGAGCTATTTTAATATTATTATTATTGCATTATGGAATTTAATCGCATTATAATTATGCCAAATGTAAAGGAAAAACAACAGGGAAAAATTAGCATATTCCTATTCATTCAACTTCCACTTATGAAATTTTTCGAAATTTTGGTGAGGGAAGCATGAATTTTTTTTAATGTATCAGATAATTACTGATAATGAAATAAAATTTTAAATAAATAACAACAAGAAACAAAATTCAATTAAAAAATGCAATATTTAAATATATATTTGGAAAAATCAAAATTATTGAACATTAAAGATTTAAAGTAAAAAGCAAGTAAATTTTAACGTCTTTTTATTTTCTAGTTCATGTGGCGTAAAAGTTTTTGAGCAAAAAGAAATTGATTTACGATGCAGTTTTTATTTTGCTGCATCCATAAATTTCTTAAGTACATTTCTTGCGAAAATTGCGCCGTTTAGTGCTAAAAAGAAGTTGCCGGCGCACAGCATTTCGCAACGCAAATAAATCCTGAGCTCTTTTCGGCAAATAAAAATAAACAGCCGCGCTAATGCACTCGTCGTGTGCCACAGCAGCAGGCGAAGTGGCAAAAAATGGCCCAAAGAGAGTCAGATGAGGAAAAGGACAAACACGTTTGTCACTCGCTCGCTCGCTATCGTCATCATCTCCATTTCTCACTCGGCGGACGCGCTGAATTTGGTTATTATTCAACGGAACGTCAACAAAATTGTCGCACGCGCCGCGAATAAAAGGGTGATTTATTTGCACCCTCCAGACGCGCGGAACGAAAGCTAGATCGTGTCAAGTAAAGGAAGAAGAAAAATGCGGCAAAAGATTAATTTCTTGTGTTTGTCAAAAGTCAGAATGATAAAAATTCAAACTGGAGAAATTTGTTTTTTAATTCATCACAGTTATTTGAATAAAAATTCGTTTAATGAAAAAATCATTGAATTATAAATTTCATGATATCTCAGCTTTTGCTGCAGACACAAAATTGATCTCATTTCCAGTGAAAGCACAATTTCTAGGCTCTCCGGCGGAATAAAAAAGCTTAAATCATAACAGCAATAATTCTCAAGTATTCCGAGAAGAACCCTCTCTTTTCATAAAGTCGTCTTCGTTCCTCTCTCGCAAGCTAGACACGCACTACTTGAACTTTCAACTGTCATGCTCTAAAAAATTCAGTAGAATAATTTCCCTTCTCCGCAAGAAAAAAAAGCAAAAGAAGACTGGGTGCGGTCAAACTCTTTTGATCGGCCACTCTCATTTCGCATTTGCATGAGCTGGTCGGATCAATGCAAATAATTGCGTACAAAAGCAAGAGCGTGCGATTTGTTTGTTCTGCTGGATCGTTAATCGAAACAGGAAAGCCTCCAAAGCGTGGCTTTCGAGATTAATTTGCATCCAGCCGCTGTCAAACCGGTTAAATTTATTTATTATTCGCTTTATCTGCTTCATTGTCCGTGAAACAATGACGGTTTATGGGATTTGGCATTTGGAGGGAAAAATGGTCCCAATAATAATGTCGTTTGTTCAAATTGAAAAGTTTTAATTTATAGAATTCAAAACGAAAAATTCAACATATTTTACACCGTTCATAAAATAGTTTTTATACACAAAAATAAAATATGATACAATAAATTTTTAAAATTTATTATAAATCGTAGAAACTTTAATTCGGTCCTATTAAGTTTTAAATCTCTGCGAATCATGCAAATTATAAGTTGTGGATCTATTCCTAGATAAAATTTTAATTAATTTATCTATAAATCTGAATCTATAAAATAAACAGTTTATATAACTGGTTGAAATGTTATAAAAGCTTGTATTTTGTGTTAAGACTCAGTAGCTGGAGATACTTACCGAGCGCAATAAAAAGTTTACTGCTCAAAATAAAAACATCCATAACCGGCGATACTCGCTTTTTCTGTATTCAGTCACTTCCTCCCCGTTATTTCCGCCAATTCTCGTGGGTAATTAAGGGCTATAAAAACAACGCTGGAGGCGCAAATAGGCTTAGCGAGTGATCGCAGCCGTAAATGCCAGAGGCTGTCTCTTGTTCTCCTCCAGTTAGCAAATAATTCCCAAAGGGTTGCTTTTGTTAGTTGCCCTCCGTCTGCATCATAATTCAGTCAGTTTTTTTTATTATCGAGGGCTCCTTTGACGTCACAGCCGGATCGCGTCTGATACGCGTCGTCCCACATTTTTTTTCTGTACTTTTATGGACCTTCAGGAGCATGTCTGAAAGAACAGTGACGCAACGATGCTGTGTAATCTGGTATTTAATCGCTAGATTTCAGTCCAACATGCAATGAATGACAAACAAAGGGGAGCAAAAACTTCGCGCCTGTTGCTTTTTTGCAAAACATAAAATCCATCAAATTTGTGTTGCGGAAGACGGGATTTCAAACGGTGAAATTCACCGTAAAACTGAATAACAAGAATGACTTTAAAAGATACGAGGAACAAAATTCTGATAATCTTACAATTAATGCAATTAATTGTCATCGCACAGGCCACTGCAGTTAAAATTGAATGATTCTTTCTTTTAATAATTTTCATGTAGCCGAAATTATTATTATATAAAGCTAATTTATTAATTTTTTAAGTGAAATTTTGATATGTAATAATCAGTTTAAAATAAAAAAATATTTTAAATTGCTTAATCACATAATTTAACAATAAACAAAAAATAATTTTAAAATTGTCATAATTATTGTAATTAAAAAACTTTAAGATAAATGTCTATATTCTTATTTTAAATAAACTGAAAAAAAATTAAATACTTTGAAATTGTGTAAGAAAAAAACTTTAAATTTCTGCTGCTAATTTTTTGCTTAATTTAAGAAACCATTTTCATAGAGTTTGTGCGGGTCTTCAAGAAAAACTCAAATCACATAAACTTTTGTTTGTCGATTGTTATATCCCCTTTTTTTCTCAAGACGTTGATTTATAAAATTTGTGCGCGAGCTGATTTCGGCGTTGATTGGCGATTTGAAGGGCGACGTCTCCACGCCGCCTCACGCAAAGGACTCGACTCTGGTGAAATTACACGCAGCCTCCTTTAACATCGAATGGGACCAGAACGTCATTTTCCGACTTAATTGCCCCAAAACATGTAGATAATGAAGATAGCTTTAAGAAAAGCGTTTATTTGGCCGTTGGTAATTATTTGCGTTTAGGTGCAAAAGAATTGAGATTTGAAGGAAAATTGTAGAGCTGTTCATTTCTTTTAAATATCTATTTTTGTAGAAATAAATTAATTTACTGGCTTCTTTATGGGAACATTGCTTAAGCAAGTTCTAAAAATAGTAGAAATAAATCAAAGAAATATGTTTTGAACTACGGCACTCCCTACGGAATATCTTATTCTGAGAAAATTCGGAAACGGGCCAAGTGGAGCTGAAATTGGTCGATTTCCAGTGGGTGAAATTCGCTCCAGCTGTTTGCGATTTGTTTTATTTCTTGTACACTAGCATTGGCTACACATTTTGGAAGTTGTCACCGACAAGGAGAGCCACTTGAAGTTGTGCTTTATACAGACTATGGCGTTCGCCTTTTTTGCGATTTTCTCAAACGCGTACACCTGGCAGTGAAATGAGTGACGAGAAATTCGTGGAAATTATGGCCAAAGGACGCTCTCAGAATAGGGTCGAGGGCATTTTTATTGATTTTATCATGCTTCTCTTCAAGACTAAGGCTTTAAACAAATAAAAATGGAACACTAGAATATCATTTCAATAGAAATCGATAGGAATTTTTAATCTGTGCTTCATGAAAATAAAAATAAAATTTAATTGGGTGGTGCCTTCTGTCCCACCAATAAAGGGCACAGGCCGACAAGACTTTGTCTTGGCCTGACCCTAAAAAAAAAAAAAAAAAAAAAAAAAAAATATAGAATTTCAGTGCCAAAAAACAAAACATTTGAAGTATGAAAAAAATGAGGCGAATAACCTGTGATAAATCAAATCAATGTATAATTACTTTGTTGACAGTAAATATAATACAATTGAAACTAACGTATCGTTGTTTTTAACGAGAATCGAGATCAAATTATTGTGATTTGTGTGATTGGAGTTGATCAAATTCAGTGTTTAATAAACATAAGGTTTTCACTGTCCCGCATTTTATGCAGAAAAAAAAGCAAACAAGCCAAACACAAAAGTAAACAAAACGCAAATAATTAATTGTGGCGTGCGCTCGACTATTGATTGATTAAGGACGAGTCTGCTGGCGACAATAATAGAACGAGAGGGAGCGGCAGGCGAAAATTTACACCCCCATCAAAGTGCAGTGAGCCAGCAAGGCACCTAATGAGTGCAGATTGATTATTTTTTAATTGGATTCCCTCGGCTAATTGCATATTCATGTAGCGAGGCAAAAACAAGTCGTCCAGAGACCAACTCGCTTTAATCAGGATAATCCGTGGGGGCCGAGGACGACGTGCCGTGTTTTGCGCTGCACTTATTAACGTTGCAAGTAATTAGCGGATTATTCGTTTGCTTTGAAGAGATTTAATTCTCAAATTCTAATTTTAAAAGTGCGTCAAAGAAGTGCAATTTTGCTGTAATCACTAGGCATGTTCTCTATATAATAAATTTTAAAATTTTATTTTTTTTTTTTAAATTTTAATAACATTTAATTTTTATTTGTAATTCACTTTAATATAAAACGATGCTTATTGCATTATTTTTATTTATTTAAAATAATTATATTTTTAATAAATTTTAACATTATTTGAATTTTTTTGTTTTTCACTCTTTAATTCTTGAGTGAAACCTGTATTAAAATTATTATAATTTTTTTTTATTTTAATAATAAATATATATTATCTAACAGATTGACTTTCACCAGAATTACCCAATATTAATATGTAATATCACTCATAGCAAATCATTTCGAAGCAATAATAATTTAATGATTGAATAGTAAATACTAAGTACAGATGAGATATGGGACAAATCAAAAGTATAAATAATAATTCTACTTTTCATGACATGAAGACATTCAAGACGGAAATTGGCTTCCACAAAAAAATCACGAAATTTACCTTACGGGCTTGATATTGGCATCGTTTTACCGAACCCATGAAATAAGGTTCTTAAGTGCCAAAAACAGGTGTGCCGCTGGCAGCCTATGCTGAGCTTTTCTGTCGATCCTTCTTATAAATCCTTTTCCTCTCGCCTGCCTACTTTCCAGACAATCACCACGCACGGAACTCTCTTTCTCTTCCAGGCGAAGGATAAAATCCGCCGTTCGATTGCAGCAAAGTTACTCTTGCGAAAAGTGCCTCTTTTGTTGTTTCGCGGGCATTAATTCCAAGTTGGGCGCCAATAAATTTAAGTGCTTGAAAGTGAAAGAGACCGAGCTGAACGTGAATGTATAGGTTGGGGAACAATTTAAGTGCTATAATAAATATTCAACAAGAGGATTTTCTTGAATATTTAATTATGCTTCAAATTCCTTACTTTTATACCTTAATCTGGCCCTAAACTTCAAAAAATTAATGTTTGATTTTTTTATTTAAAAATATTAATATTTTAAAATTATATTTTAAGACGTATTTTTATTTTTATTGATTTGAATATTTTAAACTTTGAACAAACACGTATTTTTATAATTTTTATATTTTTTAGGGCTAAATTTTATATTTTGTGAATTTCTCTTTAAAGACTGCTCTAGTTATTTTCTTGTATGAGAAATGCAAGGCCTAATTTTCTGTCCATGAACTTCCTAATTTTATTTTGAAGTTTTGCTGAGCAGTATTAAAAATAGAAACTGTAAAACTGTGAGCCAAAAAATTTGGATTGAATTTTTTCTTTGATTGCGAATTACGTAAAAATTTGTTTAAAATGCAAAGTTAATTAAAAAGAAACCTAAATGTTGAGATTAATTCTTTTTGGAACCCATAATAATTTATTATACTTTCTTTTTGCAGGCAAAATTCTTAAGTTTAATTTTTTTAATTATTTGTATGAAAATACCAATTATTAATTGCCAAGTTAAATCCTCTAAAATTTTATTTTGAATACGGAAGGGAAACGATTTACTATTTTTATGGCTCTATTCATATTAAAAGTACATTTTTTCCACGAATCATGAAAAATAACGTCGTGGTACAGAAGTTGGAATACTTTTCTGACCGCTGGTTTGAATATTCAAAGTGGAAAAATCCGTTTATTTTTATATATTTTTTCGCGTAAAAGCGCTGAAAATTTCTCACTTTCGAAAACAATCTCCCTGTGCAATTTGCCAAGAATCCCTTGTGATTAAAACTTCCCTCATCGCTTTCTGCAGCAGTGCCGGAAAATGATATTTCGTTGAGCTCCGAGTCGGCTCAACCAGTGGCGTGTCTGTTAACAACGCCTCTCGTGTCACCAAGGGGGCTTATTCACGCAGAGAAATAATAATTCGGTTACACTCTCGCTCTTGCTTCTATTCTCGTCCGCACCGCAAATCCTCTTCAATCTTTCCTCCGAACTTTTCCAACTAATTCCATCTCAAGATGCAAACAAACTCGAAACACAAAGTCGGCTCTCTGCTCGTAATTGGATTTGCCTGGCGATGCATGAAAATAATTGGAATTGCGCTCTTCATGACGCCTCATTTTTTTTTATTAATAAAACATGTAAAGCTTTTACGAAGCATCTTTCTTGTCGGCATCTTTTATCGAAGCAATTCCCCTCGGCAAATATTATTTTCCTTTTTCCTGTTTATGTGCTTCACAAGTCATGCAAGATAAGTAGTGACACTGCTGGTGACATGAATTTAAACGTGCAACCAAGTGTGTCTCGGCGATAACAAATTTGCTTTCAACTTTCTCGTCGCTAATGCGACACAAACTGCAAAACTGCCAAAACGCGTGAAGGCTTTGCAAAGTTTGTTTTTAATTCACACGTAAGCCCACTTCCGCGTCCTTTGATCTTGGCACCCTGCTTTGTTATTACGTTTGATCTCCCTCGGCAATTATTATATTTAGCAACACGCTTGAATATTAAAAGCAGCTGCCAACACGCAGTTCATTATTACGCTGCAATAATCCTGTTTTGTTTGAAATGTTTATTGCACGCTGCTTTGTGTTGTTTAGCTTTGATGTTTTTAAATACTTAAGGCAGTACTAATTATTTTAATTATAAGTTGCGTCTTTACACAGGATGAAAAAAGAGGTACGGAAGAAATCACGAATTTTTTATTAATTTCGAATGGACATGACCTAGTTTTGTTCTTCCTAAAATTATTTTGTATTAATTTTTTTAGCAATATTTGATTTCATACAAGCAACGTAAAAATATTTTACAATTAATTGAAAATCTTCTTTCCAAAAACTGGGGAATTAGAGATTTTTTCAATATATGACCGATTTTGGCTGTTAATTTCATTTCTATTAGTCAAAAATAATAAACTTGGTAAATTAATGAATAGACTGGAAATGTAAGAATTCAAAATATTTATATTTTTCAACTTTCTTGTTGTTGTTTTTTCTGCAAATTCTTGTTTACATTCGATTGTTGAAAACAATTTATTTGGAAAGAAAGAAATTACTGGAAAAAACGGCACCACCCTAGCAATCATTTTGCCAAAACTTCCGAAATCAAAATGACCCCATCCGCCACAAAGAAACCTCGGTTGACTTTGTTTTTGTTCTTAATACTTATTCTCACACTTCTATTTCAATTTGTTAATTCTCTTTACAAGTCAATACAAGAAAACTATAAGTCTTGCACACACAAAATAATAATTTCCAGTCGAGTATTTAATCATTAGTTTATAAATTGCCGGATTGAAATTTGACGGGCAAAACTTTCTTCGCCCTCGTTAGCCCGTTTCATAATTACACGAAGCCAAACACCCGCGCGCGCGGTTGATTACTTTTCAGAAAACACGTCCACGCATATTATGTTCAGTGTGTGTGTGTGTGGGGGAAGGAAAAAGCATGTATGCCTAACGAGATGTGCTAATTGCTTTTTCAGGCTACGGCAGCACGACGCCGCAGACCGAGATGGGCCGACTCGCAGTCATCCTGTACGGCTTCCTCGGCTGCTCCGGCGGCATCCTCTTCTTCAACCTCTTCCTTGAGCGAATCATCACGTTCCTCGCGTATGCTCTCCGCTACATCCACGTGCGCAAGCTGTCCAAGCGCGTGCACGAAGCCAACGGCCTCAACGGGCGTAAGGTGAGAAATAAAAATTTATTTTATTTTTATTATTTCCATTATTATTATTATCATTATCATTAACTTGAAAAAAGAAAAATTCACCTTCCCCTCTAGATTATTATTATTATTATATTATTATTATTTTCATTATTATTATTATTATTATTATTATTATTATTACTATTAATATTATTATAATATTGTTATTTTCATTATTATTATTATTATTATTATCAATATTATTATTACTATTAATATTATTATTAATATTATTATTTTTATTATTATTATTATTTTTATTATTATTATTATTATTATTATTATTATTATTATTATTATTATTATTACTACTACTTTTAAAAGATTTAAATAGAGAAGAAGATAATAAAAATTTTATTTTCGACCTATCTTGACCTTTGAGTTATACGATCTTGCTCCTTCTTTATCTTTAACAAATATATCAAATCAGAAGGATGCCTTCAATGCAATATTTAACATTTTTTGTTATACGTTTACTGGAAAATATTGATCATATTGCGAAACAGACGCTCGCAAATATTTGCTTTCAACATGATATAAACTCAGTATAGTAAATCATGAATTTTTGAGCAATACTTATTTATTGCTCCTCTTCCTCTGTGATGCACTATTTATTATATTTTTTTCATCTCCTGCAAAAGCACGCCTTTGTTGCCTTTGTAGTGACATTTATAGACAAAAAGAATTTGTTCCCAAATCAAAGTGCTCAACTTTTTGTTTGAAAAGGCACAAAGTAAGCCAATCTACATTTTAGTTTAGCAATAAACTGAACCAGTTCCGACACTAACGTGCTCTTTTAGATGAAAGAGAGTTGTGAAAGTAGGCAACCGGCATTGCAGCAACGTGCGGCCAAGTGCCTACTCAGCGCCAGCAGGGGTTTGTCTGACTGTCAGGAAAAAAAGAAAGATTGCGCCTCAGCATGTTTTCCGACAAACTTTCACAGCCAATCCGATCGCGATTTTATTTCCTCAAGAATTGCAAAAAAAATATAATTTTATCCGAGCAATTTCTTAAGATCAAAACCACACTGTAAATATTGTGAACTTTTTGATGGGAAAAAAAATATTTATTTGTTCAAACTTAAATTTTTTTTCTTTTTTTAGAAAAGAAAGGAACTGTTGGACAAAACGCACCACTACTAGCAAGAATTTTGTTAAATATCGCTCATTTTATAATTAGAAAACCTCAAAAGTTTCCAATTTCGGTTTAAAAAAGTAATTTCTCCATTCGAAACATAAAAGATAAAGCCAAATTCTTTTTATAAAAGATACTGATTTGTTTTGAATGATTATTTTGTGTATTGAAAACACGGATTGCAATTTTTCGCTTATTATTTGTAGGTTTGCGTGTCGAGCGCGTCGCTGGACGACGACGAGGAGAGCCTGGACAACTGGAAGCCGAGCGTGTACTGGGTGATGTTGTGCCTGAGCGTGGCGGCGACCGTGGTGGCCGCGTGCGCCTCGCTCATGTACGCGCCCTTCGAGCACTGGTCATTCCTCGAGTCGATATACTTTTGCTTCGTGTCGTTCGCCACCATCGGCTTTGGCGATTACGTGGCCACGCAGGCCGAGACTTACCCGCACGACAACTGGTATCGCTTCGGCAACTTCATCTTCCTCGTGCTCGGATGCTGCTGCACGTACTCGCTATTCAACGTCACCTCCATCGTTATCAAACAGGTATTTGTTGCCAAAATATTTATATTTTTTAAATTTTTTATCTTATTTTCATAAACAAAATTAGAAAAAAATTAATTTTATAAATTCTTTTATTCAATAATTTGGATTTATTGTGAAGCATTTAAGTAACTTAAAAGTTAAGAATAAAGATTAAAAAATAATAAACAAAAAAACTAAAATAATTTTAAGATTTTACCACTCAATCCCTTTGAATTATTTTAAATTTATATGCATCTTTCATTTTTATTTATTATAATTATTTAAATTGTAAAATTATTATTATTTTACTTATGTAGGTTGTACACAACAGTGTTTGCTAAAATTATTTATCTTATTATTTCATTTTATTTATATCTATTAATAACTTCAATTAAATTAGTATATGGAACTTTTGCTATTTAACAATTAATTTTGTATTTTTAAAGGCCAAGATTTACACTGATTTATATTTATATCAAAAATTAATTACATTTTCTTGGATACTTAAATCTGATTGAATTTTATTTTACAATTTCTATAATTATTAAAAAAAAAAACTTCTCTTAAAATCAAAATTCATTTAAAGAGTAAATAAAAATATTTGTCTTTATTTGACTCTCAACTAAATCATTCTAAATTTTTTAAATTTTTCAACAGGCCCTCAACTGGTTGATAGCCCGTTTGGACTTTCGTTGCGAGCGAGCGGCTGGCGCCGCAAATCGCATGTGGCGCCGCCAGTCGCAGCGAATTCGTCGGCGACGCAAAAGCACCGCCAGACCAAACAACCTGCGGCGCCAACGACGCCCACCGTTGCCGATTCGACACGCACCCCTCTGTGGGGACGGCGTGGCGGCGCCGAACACAAACCCTGGCGAAACTGGGGACTCGGACTCTGTCTACGACTCGGACGGGGAACGAAGACTCAGTGGGGAAATGATCTCCATGAAGGACTTCCTTCAGGCTAACAAGGTACAATTAACGATTTTAAATAATGCTTTAAATATCGCTGCTGATGCGCACGAATTTCTTAACAGAAAAAAAACCATTCGTGCAAATTTTTCATTTTCTTTGCAGATGAGAAATGTGTACACATGAAGTTTTTTACTTGAGAATTGTGCGCATGATAGCAACAATAACATAATTATATATTTTTGATATTTAACCATTTTTTTGTACAACTTCCTTTTAATTTGGTAATTTTTTTTTAATATAAAAACTAATATTTTAATAATTTTGTTAAAAATTTTGGTAATTCTAATTGTTATAATAATGCTCATATTAGATAGAATTCCTTTTTGTTAAATATTTTTATTTGAATCAAGAAAATAAAAATAATAACCATAATTGGACTTACTTAACCATATTGCTGCAACCAGCAATGAATTCTCACTCCTAAAATTTTCCTCTCTCTTAATTAAAAATAAAATGTTTCCGAGATTAAATAGATTTGACCTTTATGTTTATGAAATGAAATCCAATGCTTAATTTTCCAACAGTAAAAGAATTATTATGACAATCCTCTCTGATCATTTTCACAGGTTTCACTTGCTGTGATGCAGAAGCAGTTGTACGAAACGGCCCAAATGCAGCGGTGGGGCGTGAGTGCCCAGCCTGCCCGAGGCTCCGGCGGTGGTTTCACGCCGGGCACGGTGGGGCCCCTGGCGATTGTCAGTCAGAAGCTGGACAACAATGCGTGAAAAGCTGTGATAGTGTGTGAGATGAGGCAGGTCTCGGGGGTGCGCATTTTATTGGACTTGAGCTGAAGCAGGAAAGTTTAAAAACCAAGCTCAACTAATTCATAAGGCAAAGGTCAAAGGTGATTTGAAAAAGACGTTTTAATTGTAAGAACAATGCGCTAATTAACAAGTGCATTTGCAAGAAGAACTTGGAAACTAAGTTTCTCATACTTGGGTGTGTATATGAAATTAATTTTTTATCACTGCTCCTCTCGCTCTGCTTATTTTATTTATGCAGCTCAAAAAGTGTGTTAACAACTTTCGACGAGAGACTTTTCATGCGCGCGCGGTAATTAGAGCAGCAGCTTTTGCTTGCGTATAATTTATTTAAACCTGTGAGAGGATCTCGTGGAAAAAATGATGAACCTTGTTAGCTCTCGGTGGGGATTAAACGTCCTTGAATAATTGTAGTCAAACGTAATTGCATGATAAATTTTGACTCAAAATCCCCGCCGTTTTCATCCGTAATCCCTATCAAATTAATTCTATAGTCGGCTGCTGTGACGCACAAACATTTGGATTGGGATCTGTTATCAAATTGAAAATTAATTTCCACCTCTCTCGAATTTTGAATTTAGTGTGATCAGCAAAATTTCTACAAATTGACTATTCCTTGTTAATTATTGTGAAATCAGTTCAAATATTTCATGTTAAAAATTCAAATATTTTTTGAAACCAAAGAAAAGAATTCTATAAAAATAATGGGGAATTCAATACAGATATCCTGGCCCTGGCCAGCTATAATTATAACTTGCCCGGGATATCTCGTCTGTATGGAACATTCTCCAATATTATATTCTCTGTCAGGTATTTGTGACGAAAGAAAAAATTTAAATTAAATTAAAGCTCTGCATAATACTTTTGCGTCAAATTTAAAAAGGACTACATAAATAATATGTGTAAAAGAAACTTGCTTGGGATTTGTTTTTTGGGACCTTCTGAAGGAGAAAATGTCTCCAGTAATTGCAAAATCAATAAATCCGATGATATTTTGTCATTTCACGTCAGCTCAAAAGTATTTTTATTTCACCAGAATTACCCCAATAGTGCGAGTTTTAATTGTAAATTTATTTCTATAAAATAATTTATTTATTTTTTAAATTGAAAGGGATTTTCCTTTTTTTTAAATCACAGTATTTATGTAAACGTGTCCAAACTTCTTGATCTTCTAAAATACTTCATATAAAGTAAACATTATTTGCATTTTGGTGGATTCAATACTTGCGCACGCACCACACGTATTCGCAGCGGGCAGCTTTGATGCGCGTCGGATGATTTATTCCGCAAACAGAAAGGAAGGGTTGTCTACCACCCTTAGACGTCTATGTAGACCAACAGAATGACGTGAGAAGAGTCCAAAACCTCAGTCAGCGGCCCCCCTTGTAAGTAAATCAATCTTTGTAACAGAATGTGAATGTTCTGTGATGTCAGAAGTTGATTGATAGCGCAGGCAAAGTAATCACTTTTGGCGTCTTTACGGCAAAATATTTTTGAAAACAAACAATATGTTTCTGCAAAAACTTTCATAGGCTTTGTAAATGGCAGAGAAAAAACTAAATGATATTTAATGTTTCAATTTTATATTTATCTCTTACTATTTTTATTAATTTATTTATTCATATTCATTATTTTATATTATTCCAACTGTACATATTTTGCAATATAAAAACCTACTTAAAAATTCACCAGTTTTCCAACAAAATTATGTTTCTCCAATTTATTTTATCAAGCAGAAGTGATTTGCTTAAAGAAAAACCTCAATTTTAGAGACTTTTTAATTAATAAACTTTCCGCCTGTATTATTTTGTCATTATTTAAAATACCGCAGGAGTGTTGCAGCTCAAATAACAAGTTTTCTCATGAGAAAAAAAACCTTTGTCAATATTAGTGTTCTACATAACATATAAATCACACTGGCTTTTCCTACTTTACCCTCTCTGCTCTTTGTAAAATCTTATTAAAGCTCAATAATCCTCGAGAATAATAACGCGGTCTGCAGTCGTTTCCTTGACCCGAATCATGACCTCCGTTCTGCAAAATCAGTGCTGAGCAATACCACATTCAGTCGCATATGGGACGCATGCATGTGTATTGCACTCTTGTGTGGCCGTCGTGGCGCGAAGTAATTACAAGGCTAACTTTGTTTAACTAACGACAAGTGTGCACCGCACACTCTCAAGTATGATTTTCAGCTCCGTGCACAACAACCGCGGCTTATATTTCCTTTTCTCGACGGAAGCAGCTTGCTCGTTTTCTGACGCACATCAGACCACAATGCAACTCTAATCTGCACAGCATGTTGCAATTTTGCTAAATAGCATAGAAGTTTCTTAACAATATTGAGAGCAACAACCCAATACAAAATAAATATAGTTGCATTATTATTTTATTTTAATTTTAAGACACAATCATTAATTATAATATATATTTAATGATAAAAAATAAAAATTTATGTGTTAGAAATGATTTTCTTCAACAATTTTTATTATTTCAATGTTTATTTAAAATATCTTTATAACAAACTTAATTGTGAAGCGCTGAAATGTGTTACACTGAAATTTATAATAATAATTAAAAGTTATTAATAGAATAAATAAATCAATACACAATATAAAATTTAATCTCTTGAATTAAAAAGTGTCACACATTTTAAATTAATTCTCTATGTATAAAATTAGCCATCCCTGAAGAGTGATAAATTATAATAATTAATTCAAAAATCCCATAGAAAGGAGATTTTTTTCTACTCTGTCTTCGATAGAGGGAGTGGCAAACTTTGTTGCACTCGTAGCCAGTGCTTGGAGATGCGAATTCCCTTCGTCCTTGCAATCTCCTGCAGGGCCGTCGGGCCGTCCTCGTCTGACATGAGTCGGCCAAACCATTTCTTAATTGCATACTCGACGGCCAAAAGCAGCAGGGCAACGACCAGGCCAGCAGCCAAAATTGCAAAGGGTAAAACGACGCTTTCCATTCCGAACTGCGGCAGAGTCGTGTCCTTCGGGCAGGGCTCTTCGAAATACAAACCGAGCCAAGTCGAACGGGCCCTCGACAGACGTCCACTTGCGCGCATTGAAATGAGCCTTTAAAATTTCAATAGAAAGAAAAAAATATATATTATATTTTAATTTACTGTTGGTCGATTGCTGCTTTGTAAGGGGAGGACTTGGAGAACATGAGCTGGCCCTGCACTTTCATGATGTCCGTCGGCAAAAGGGTTGTTTTGCAATTGTACGGCGCTTTGTTGATCAAAGGCAAGATTCGTTCCCTCGTTTCCAGCAGGGTCGTCAAGGTCCACGAATTTGACACTTCGGTCACCGCGTCCGCCAATCGTGGCATGATTCGGGGGTACGGTTTTCGCTCACCCAACTCCTTCCACGAACCTTTCGTTGCACTCTGCATGGCGTCAAATAATTAAATTTAATTTTTATAAATTTCTATGCTTTTACGTTTATGAGTCGTTGAGGCGCCGAGTCTGGTGCATAAAGAGCTGTGTACGGCGAACTTATCATTTCTTCCAACGTTTTAAATGGTGGCTCCAAAGTACCGACGGTTAGTTTCGAAATCAGGGCGGCCGAGAAAGCCTGGCTCACGACAACCCCAACAAGGAAGGAGACCCACAATACTATTCGCCCGGAATAAGACAGTGGAGCAAAATCAGGTCCTGCGCATTGATTTTATAAATTATTATTAGTTTTTAAATCTAAGATAGTCAGAATAATTTACTCCAAAAGAGTTGACAAAAAATTAAAATTTAATTAATTAAAGTTCGTATAATATATTATAAAGAAATAAAACATATTATTAAATATTTGTAGTAAAAATAAATTAAATATAATATATAAAATAAAAACTTCAAATTTAAACATTTTAAAAACTTATATTTTGCTTTTTTGAATGCGGCTTTTTTAAATTTAAATTAATATTTTTAAAATTAAATAAAAATAATGAATTATTTTAACAAAAAAATTTTTTTAACGATTTTGAGATAAATAAGTTTTATATCAATTTCGCTGAAATACTACAAACAAAAATGATATACCTTGCGCAAACAAAGAGCCATAAATGATCATAATGGATTCTTTGAGGGAGAAAATGGGTGTTCCGTCTTCTTCGAATCCATAATAGCGCCCTAAAATGTACGCGACCGTGATCAAAATCACAGCCAACGTCCAAACCAAGGCAATGACACGCCAAAGCAGCAACTGGAACGGCTGGATGAACTGGTCGATACTCGACGTGGCCGAAACTCGCGGCAAAAGGAACCTGTACCTGCATAACCGCCGCATATTTTTATAATTGGAAATTCTCATTAAGTCTTGTGAAATAATGTTCACTTGAGGTTGATGATCGGCATGGAAAAATCAGCGAGATCGATGTCGTCGGCGGTGATGACGAACGGCGACAACACGACGTCGGCGCGGCCCGATTTTAATTCCTCGACGGCGCGCCTAAACATGCCAACCGTCAAGTCCACCCTCGCCGGCCTGTAGTAAGTGGTTCTGCGGAAAGCAATCGATTAAACGATTCGACTCAAACTTTTGACCAGAAACCTGAATTTCAGAATGTTTTGCAAGTCCTTCCAAATGTCCACCATCCAACCCGAAATGAGAGCTTCATTTATCGCGGTGTTGGATGTAATGTTCGCCGCATACACAAACGGAGGATCCTAATTTACAATTGGCATCAATCAATTTTTTAATTAGACACATTTCTTTCTAGCAACATAGAATTCTGATCAATCTTCAAATTTTCAAATCCTCTGTCATTATTAAAGTGCCACAAATTTCAATAAAAAAAAAGGAAATAAAATGTAACGAAATGAGCTGAAAACAATTTATGATTAAAATACTAAAAGTTAATTTTTTTTATGAGTCCAGCTTCAACAATATTTAAGATGAAAAACAGCTTTAAATCTCAATTACGTCAAAGATTGCCACGCTCAGTCTCTGCCCGAGCAGGTCCATGTTGGGTTGGTCGGCGATGTCAGAGGGCACTTTTTGCCCGATACCGTCCCAGTTGGACTTCAGTGTGTGCAAAATGCCGTTCCAGCGATACAAATTGGCAAGGCCCTCCGATTGAATGTGGGCAGAGACGAGGTCAGTGTCCGGCCGGAGACCAATGTCTGTCGTCAGGTTGCGCTGGTTGCTGAATCGGATGTGGATCCATGACACCGCGTTGCCAGTTGTGCCTCCAGAGTCGGCAGCCTAATTTTTCAATTAAACCAAACACATAAATTTATGTAATAAAAATCAAGCATTTAGCACGTATTCAACGTTTGACAAAAAAAAAAAATCGGAAAAAAATGAATAAAAATTCAATTTGTTTTTGAATAAATAAATTTTTTTGCAACGAGAAAAAGCCCGATATCTTCATTTCCATCTCATCGAGTGTCAACTTCTTCAAACAAAAAATTTCTTTTGAATTAAATTTCGAATCGAAGACATCATTTCTTGATCACGTCTGATTTGCAACAATTGCCATTTAAAAAAAACCTTTTTCTTCAATATTATCAAAATTAAATTTTGTTTAATAATGAAATATTTGCATACTGCTCTGACAAATCCAGAAGTGGGGTCGTTGGGTGTGAGCATGAGGATGCAAGTGATCGGCGGCTGATTGGGCTCCTTCAACCGAAGCACTTCCACCGCCTTCGGATCAGGTATTCTGACAAAACTGGACGAGACACCCACTAGAGAAAGTCGTTTGAAAAAAGCCATCACAAGCTCCCTCATGTAATTTTCTACAGTCGGATGAATAATGTAAAAAAATTAAATTTTGCCACTTAATTATATTAAAAACCTCTTCCTTTTAAAGCGTAGTAGGCGATGGCGGCCCTGCGAATCGGCCACTGCGAGTGATACTGAAGCACGAATTCGCACGCCTGAGTCCACGCCTTCTCGTCCCATTCTTCGTTGACATTTTTTTGACCACAAACTTGCAGAAAAATGCAGCAAAACAAAACTGAGATGACCAGAGCAATCCTCATGATATCGACGCCAGGCCAAGCACCGACTGAGGGTGGAAAATGGATTCGAGCGAGCGCGCCGCAGTGACGTGCATCACGACTGAGATTTTTATCATCTTTCAGTGCGTGATCCAATGCATTTAAACAGGAAACAATAAAGAGGTGCATTAGTGGATCAAAAATTAAAAAAACAAGTGTTGCATATACGTATTATTTTGACATTTACTTTTTAAGCGGGACTGATTGAAAGCCTTGAAGCAAGAAAGATTGCTTCGGATAAAATTGTTATGTTTCGTTCTCAAAATCAAATTTTAAATTTATTATTTGTTTGCATGTCACACCATGCGTTTTAGTTTAAATGAAAACCTGCGTCGCTCACTCTTTTAAAATAAATATTATTTTTAAATTAAATATTTATATTACATTTAAAAAATTGAAAATTTTTATAATTTATAAATGCAAGGTTATGAGTGATTTTTGCCTTATTTTTACTAAGATCGAAGGTTCCAGATAATATGCGTATGTTTAATTTTTTTCGTAATGAATTAATCAGGTTGTATTTGCTAATAGTGAAAGCTTTTGTATAAGAACATCAATTCTATGACCTGACGAATTTTATCGTTTAAATAATGATGTATAGACTGATTTTAAAATTACATTATATTCTGTGGTATGCAATGCTTAAAACAAAAGAAATAAAACTTGAATCTTGACTATCCGGCAAATTACCAAAAGAGGCGCTCGAAAAAGGTCCACAGGCGTTGGAAGAATGAGGCTGGCTGAGGCACCGGTGGGTTCTGACCAAATTCCTCGACCCCATCGTCATCCGAACGTCTCCATCAGGTTGCGCAAACTTCAGGGTGTGAATGTATTCCCTTAGGGCCTTCTTGCCTGCGAGTAAAAAAGGACACGAATTTTTCTCATTTTTTTCAAACATCTCGCTGTGAAAAATTCTTACTCAGGTTCTCCAGCACAGTGTAGCCGTTGACGATGGCGAAGTGGAAGAGGGGCTCGATTTCCAGCGCCTCGTGGTTGTCGAGAGCTAATTCAGCCAATTCTGCCGGCAGTCCAAAGACATTCAGAGGCGAGACAGCGGCTGGCCAGGCATACCGAATGGCGACGACTCGAGCACAACGGATGCGTTTGGTTCGCCTGTAAATAGCCTTGGCGTGCTCGGCGGAGCCTGATTTTTTTTAAAAAATAATTCTCGGTCAATTAAAAGATGCACAAGTCACTTACTCTGATTTCTTGTCGGCGCGATGCCAATGTGCAATCGAGCGCAGTACAAGGCCAGTTTACTGCTCTCCGAGCAGATGAGAGCGACGCCGGCGTCTTCACTAAGCCGCCAGCCCATCTTCCAACGGCCTCTCTTCACTGGGCCGAACAGTATGTCTGGCAAAGAAATGGACATTGCAGTCGAAAGAAATTTTAAGCGTTGAAAAAAAGCGAAATTCTTCAAAAACTATTCAAAATTGGGTAACGGTCGGAATGAATAATGTAAAAGGACTGCAACAATGCAAACTGGAAACGATGAATGTATATTGGTGATTGTAGGATTGTTGGGAAATTTAGCGCACTGTTGAAATTTTTCGAATTGTTTCAAATATGAAAGCGAATGAGAAAAATGCGGTGTAGCCAACGGACGCATAAGCAAAAAAAAAGTACTACAGAAATTTGCAAAAACTCCAATGACGCGCATTAATAAATAGCAATTTCTTTTGTACATTTAAAATGAATAAAATCGATGCCTGCAAATGTTTTTTTTTTTTTTAAAAGAATTCAAACATTTATATTCTATTTCCAACAGATAAATAAAAAATAACAAACGCATCGATCAACTCAGTGGAGCTTTAGACGAATATTATTTTTTTTTTAAGTCCTCTACACATCTAGAGCTTTGAAATGTAGCTAATGCCCCAAGATACTAGACGTAGAAAAAAGTGAGTTAAAAAGCATTCGCTATTTTTTGCATCTCTAAAGAATTAAAAATTCTTCGTTGACATTTTTTTGACCACAAACTTGCAGTAAAATGCAGCAAAACAAAACTGAGATGACCAGAGCAATCCTCATGATATCGACGCCAGGCAAAGCAACGACTGAGGGTGGAAAATGGATTCGAGCGAGCGCGCCGCAGTGACTTGCATCGCGACCGAGATTTTTATCATCTATCATTAATTTAGTCTGCCGTGCGTGATCCAATGCATTTAAACAGGAAACAATTAAGAGGTGCATTAGTGGATCAAAAAATAATCATTTTCGGTACATTAAAAGATGCACAAGTGACTTACTCTGGTTTCTGGTCGGCGCGATTCCAATGTGCAATGCCAGTTTGGAGCTCTCCGAGCAGATGAGAGCAACGCCGGCATCTTCACTGAGCCGCCAGCCCATCTTCCAACGGCCTCTCTTCACTGGGCCGAACAGGATATCCGGCAAGGACACGGACATGGCAGCGGAAAGAACTTTTGGCGTTGAGAAAAAGCGAAATTCTTCAAAAACGTTTCAAAATTGGGTAACGGTCGGAATGAATAATTTAAATGCGACTGCAACAATGCAAACTGGAAACGACGAATGTATATTGGTGATTGTAGGGTTGTTGTGAAATTTAGCGCATTGTTGAAATTTTTCGAATTGTTTCAAATATGAAAGCAAATGAAAAAAATGCAGTGTAGCCAACCGACGAGTAAAAAAAGTAATGCACAAATTGGCAAAAACTCCAATGACGCGCATTAATTAATAGCAATTGCTTTTGAACATTTAAAAGAATAAAATCGATGCCTGCAAAGGTTTTTTTTTTAAAGAATTCAAACATTTATTCTATTTCCAACAGATAAAAAAAAAAATAACATACGCATCGATCAGCTCAGCAGAGCTTATGACGAATATTATTTTTTTTTTTATTACTTAGTCCTTTACACATCTAGAGCTTTTTGAAATGTAGCTGTTGCCCCTAGAAACTAGACGTAGAAAAAAGTGACCTGTGATAAAAAGCATTCGCTATTTTTTGCACCTCTAAAGAATTAAAGAGACCTGCTTTTGAAAAATTAATATTTAAACCAACGACAAATTCTCGCCGGAAATCTCGCCGAGTTTCTCGCGGTATTTTGCTATATTTCAAGCTCTAGATTTTAGAGGACTAAATAAAAAAATAGCAAAATTCTCGTCTATTTGAAAGACCAAATTTTAAAGTTCAGACGAAGAGAAAAGAGACCCGTGATAAAAAGCATTCGCTATTTTTGGCACCTCTAAAGAATTAAAGAGACCCGCTTTTGAAAAATTAATATTTAAACCAGCGACTATTTTTTCGCAAGAGTTTTCGCCAAGTTTTTCGCCACATTTGCTATATTTCAAGCTCTAGATTTGAAAGGACTAAAGAGAAAAGTAGCAAAATTCTCGTCTATTTGAAAGACCATTTTTTAAAGTTCAGACGAAGAGAAAAGAGACCCGCGATAAAAAGCATTCGCTATTTTTTGCACCTCTAAAGAAATAAAAAGACCCGCTTTTGAAAAATTTATATTTAAACCAGCGACTATTTTTTCGCAAGAGTTTTCGCCAAGTTTTTCGCCACATTTGCTATATTTCAAGCTCTAGATTTGAAAGGACTAAAGAGAAAAGTAGCAAAATTCTCGTCTATTTGAAAGACCATTTTTTAAAGTTCAGACGAAGAGAAAAGAGACCCGCGATAAAAAGCATTCGCTATTTTTTGCACCTCTAAAGAATTAAAAAGACCCGCTTTTGAAAAATTAATATTTAAACCAGCGACTATTTTTTCGCAAGAGTTTTCGCCAAGTTTTTCGCCACATTTGCTATATTTCAAGCTCTAGATTTTAGAGGACTAAATAAAAAAATAGCAAAATTCTCATCTATTTGAAAGACCAACTTTTAAAATACAGACGTAGGAAAAAGAGACCTTTGATAAAAGGCATTCGCTATTTTTTGCACCTCTAAAGTATTAAAGAGACCCGCTTTTGAAAAATTAATATTTATACCAACGACTAATTTCTCGCCGGAAATCTCGCCGAGTTTCTCGCGGCATTTTGCTATTTTTCAAGCTCTAGATTTGAGAGGACTAAATAGAAAAGTAGCAAAATTCTCGTCTATGTCAATTTAAAAATGAAACAATTTAACATTCAAATAATTTGATTATTGTGATGAAACAAAATATAAGTTTTTTTCTGTTCAAAATATAATAAAAATAAACTGAAACTTGTAGGGATGTCATATATCAAAAATAAATTAATAGTTTCCTCTCGTAGTGGATTGTTGAACCATCAGCTGGCGAAGCACTTCGAGGGGCCGAAAATGGTCCCAGAGGAACTTTCTGGTTACAAATTCGAAAAAGAGCACCAAAACGCCGAGGCAAATGCCGCCGACGAGAATGTAGAAGGGCAGAGCGACGTTTTCCATCCCAAACTGCAACAACGTTGTCTTGCTCTGAGGGCAAAATTCCTCGGCGGACGTGGCCGGTACCCATCTTGACCTCAGCCTCGAAAGCTGCCCGCTCGCTGACATTCCAGCCAGTCTGCCACGCAGAGGTTCAAAATTTATTTTAACAATTTCATTAATTCCTTACTTTTGATCGATGGCTTTTTTCATCGGCGACATTTTGGAAATCATCAAGTGACCTGGCAAGGTCAATACGCTTTCGGAGGAGGCCAGCGTCAGTTTGCACTCTAATGAGAGGTCAAGTAGTTTTGGGTAGATGCGCTCTTTGGCGTCCAAAAGGGTTGTGGACGACCAGCTCGACGCAACCTCAGTGAGAGCGCTTTCTATGTTTTGGTGCGTCCGTGGGTACGGTTTTCTCTCGCGAATTTCCCGCCAAACACCAAATTCGGCGCTCTAAAATTTATTTTTTAAATTATTTAAACATTACAGAATATATTTCTCTCAAAGATATGCTTTATTTTGAGACAAGACAACCTGATTTTGAAGAAAATTTGGATTTAAATTTTCCTGGAATACTAATTTGCATAAAAAATATATAATAAACAAAGCTATAAATAATTACAAAAAGTTTTATAGGGACAAATTAACAAAAATTATTGGACGTTCTGAAATACCAAAGGGTAGTGGAAATTGCGGAAACCAATCGCAATTTTCATTGGAATCTGGATATATATCTCATTCCAAATTTGTTAAATTTACGTAATTTTACCGAAATCAAACGATGTGGAGCGGAATCAGTGATGAGAAGAGGCGCGTAAGACGACGCAATGAAATCCTGCAGGTTGCGAAAGGGTGGCTCTAAAATTCCCAGGGTCAGTTTGGAGGTGATGGACGCCGAGTAAGCGAGTCCGATCAAAACACCAAAAGCGTACGAGCACCACAAAATAGTCCTCGCAGACATCGAGCGCGGAGAAAAATCCGGTCCTGTTTTTTTAATGTGCATTATTTACTGTCCTTGCTTGCAACAAAATCATACCCTGGGTGAGCAAGGAACCGTAAATGATGAGCACGGACTCGTAGAAGCCATAAAGTGGTCGTCCGGGCGGTTCGAACCCAAAATTTTGGCCGACCATGTAGGCGGTGGTCATTAAAATAGCCGTCAGGGTCAGGATTGCGGCGATCGCTTGCCAAAGGCTGGTTGGAAATGGTTGTAAAAATTGATTTAGGCTTGACGTGGCCGAGACTCGCGGCACTACAAATCCATAGCTGAAATGACAGTTTTGCGTAAAAGAGGTATAAAATTCATTTAGAAATTTAATTATTCAATCAAAATCAAACGTCATATAATAATTTAAAGTATAAATTAAATCACAATTTTAATCAGATTTTAAAATGTTCTTTAAGAAAAGTTTATCAATTGAGGGTGATTGAAGGTTGCGATTTGTGAAATTGATTTGAAATTAATTATTAAATTATGGTAACGTCGATGATTTTTATTATATATTTAAATTTATATTGTTCTTCATTATTTCATAAAGGAGTTTCCTGCTCTACATATTTCGGCTCTGAAATGCAATCTTTATTCATGAAGGTTTCATTTATTTTTTTATTTTTTTTTACAAAGTTTTATTTTCAAAGAATTTTCAAAACGCAGCAAATTTATTGAAAGGAAATAATTTTTCACCTGCAAATTTGTTTACATTTTAAATTTATTCATAAATCTCATCCAGGAAAGGTCAAATTTCAATTTAAAAATACCATAAAATTATTAAACAAGCGGGGGTAAACATTGGTTTGACCAGTGAATGAAGTCAAATCAACTCTGCTAAAAGATTTTTGCCAGTAGAAAGAAAAAAAAATAAAAAATTTTGTTGGAAACCAGGCAGAATATTATTTTGCCCATAAACAAAGGAGCGCTTTTTCAAATTGCCATAAAAATGATTGCTTTTTAAATTGTTTCCATCTGAAAAACTCGCA